GGGGTTGAGTTCAGACTCAAGAGCCCCGCTTCCCGGTGCTGGGAAGGGGACTCAGGGGAGGGAGGGAGCTTGGGGAGGAGTGCCATTGTTGAATAGATAAATAGAGGAAGGAAGGATGGAAGGAAGGAAGGAAGGAAGGAAGGAAGGAAGGAAGGAAGAAAGGAAGGTGGGTGAGCAGGCAGGCCAGAGGGAGGGAGGGAGGAAGGAAGGAAGGAAGGAAGGAAAGAAGGAAACAGGGATTCCCTGCCTTTTTGATTAAACGTTCCAGGTCGGGCCTGCCCAGTTAACGAGACCGTTAATTAAGCCGTGCGCAATTCAACTGACAGGAAGGCCCTGCACCCCGCGGAGATGTTCTGGAAACCAAGCAGTCCAAGGCAGAGCGCAAGGGGCACACCGGCCTTATCGCCCCTGTCTTTCAGGGTTCCGCCTATGCCCCGGCACTCTTGGGGACGCCCAGGCCCAGATACTTTCTCTGCCTGGACTCAGGGCTGCCCCCAGGTGGCCGCCCCCTCGGGGCTCCCGGAAGGCTCATCCACCCCCATATTCCTTCTGCGTCCCTGCGCGATACCTAGGCCTGAGCGCGAGCCCTGACCCACGCATCACGCCCCACCCGCGTCCACCCAGGCCAGCCAGGGCGCACACGTTCTGGGCGTCATCGGACAAACTCGAACTCCTGAGGACAGGGGCTGGGGACCTGGCCTGCCGGCTCGGCTCTCTGGGTCTCGCCGGAGCGCCAAACCAGCCGCTCTCCTCCGGCCTCCGGGCGGCAGGGCCTAGCCTCCACGCTCGCTCCTACTCGGGGGCCGACTCCGCGCGGTGGCGGGCAGTGCGCGGCGGCGCGGCGGGACGCTGAGTGTGTGTGCGCGGCGCGGCCTATATTTACACCCCAAACAAAATAATTACACTTTTGTCGGAGGGAGAAAGCCAGTGATTAGGCGCGGGCTCTTTGCGGCAAAACAGTTTCTCAGTGGTACACCAGTATAATTTTTCACGGCTGGCTGAAATCAAAGAGGGGAGGTAATGAATCCGGCGAGCAATTTAAATTTACAATTTGTAACGCCGCCGCCGCCGCGCAGACCCGGCCGAGAGCGCAGCTCTGAGGCGCTCGCTGCGTTTGTTTAATGTTAAAGCCGCGCTGGCTCTTGGGGGCGGGGTGGGGGGGGGGAGAATGCGTTTGGCTGGGGGGTTGGAGGGAGGTAATGATCGAAGTCGGGAGAGGACCCGCTGCGCCGCCCAAGATACCACGCGGAGGAGAGGACGAGGGGCGCACCCCTCGGGCTTCCTCAGAGCGCGCGTTCCCCCAGAAAGCAAGCCACTCCGGCCCATTCAAAGGGAGGGGATGCCTTCAGAGGGGCGAAGGGAGATACTCTGGCCGCCAGAAAAGCCCTCACGTTCCTGCTGGGCTGCAGAACCACCACCACCACCCCCCCACCCCCGGCAAGAGAGTTTCCAGTGAGGAGTAGGGAGGTGCAACTGAAAATTCTCTTTAGCCTGAGGGGTAGGTCAGCTCCAGATGCCCCGAAGAGTCCCCATTCCGGCCGCTGCCCTGCGTGCGGGGCTGGAGAAGACAGGAAAGACCCCCCCCCAAGCCCCAGCTCAGCGCGCCTCAAAACTCCCACCCCCGGCGGGTGTGTGCCTCTTCGCCGGTAATTAATTACCGAACTCAAGGGGGAATATGCAAACCGCATATTACTAACTCTACAGGGCTTAAGTGATTGGAAACAGATTATTATCTTGTTTGTCTTTTGTCTGTTTTACTTATCCCGCTGCCGTCTGTCGAGTTGTAATGTTGATACTCTTTAGTCTAGGAGGAAGATTTTTATATAGTAAATTCCATCAACATCTTGTATAAGTGACATTGCGTCTCCATGCATTACCCTGTTAAGACACAAGCGGTTTATTAGTTACATATAGGAGGGGATTTCGCTGCCTGGTCGCCATCTGTTAGCGCTGTTAGGGCGGGATAATTCGTCTAATTGTTGGTCTGCTGGCGTTTTTCGGATGCTGCACGCCCTGGAAGGTGGAGGGCTGGCAAAGGCCAAGCAGGCCTTCCTGCAGCTGGGCTGGGGCATGGAGGTTTTGGACTGGGGCTGGGCTGGGCTGAGGCTCCCAGGGCGACTTCAGGGGGGCTGTGACCTGGACAGGATGGGTGAACTCAGCTATAGGAGGCAGAAGGCCAGCCCGGAGCTTCTGGAAGCAGAGCCCTCATCTCCTGCAACCCAGCATTCAGCACCCGTACAACATCCAGGCTCGGGAAGAACCAGAGCTGCTCTCTGAAACTGTCCCCAACTCCTGCTACCTCCCTGGCTTGGTACCACACCTGCTGGGGCCTGGCTGTGCCTTGGCATTTAAGCACACCCGGGAGGTGGGGGTGGGTGGATTTGTCCCACATGGAACCCAGTACACAGCCCCCAGCAGCCAGGCAGGGTTGGCAAAGCCAGGGCTGGGAAGACAGAGCAACCTGGCTCTCTCGGGGAGGACCGGGTTGGGGGGGGTGTTAGAGGAGGGCGGGGAGGGGCACCTAGTCCAGAGCAGGGGGGAGGCTGTCAGATGGGGGCTTTTAATGACTGTATGTGAGTCTTTCAGCACCCCGATAGCTGTATGGTGCACGATGAGAATTGTTCATTGCAGCGTTGAGCCGGGTGCTGGGTTTGGACGCCCAGCAGAGAGGCAGAGGGAGGGAAATAAAAACAGTGAAATCAAGAAGGAAAGTGATGGAGAAACAGAGGGAAAGGGAAACAGAAAGAGAACAGAGGCTGAACATTAGAAAGAAAAGGAGACAGAAAGGAAAACAGACATGCAGAGAACGCGGGAGAGAGAAACCCCCGTGAAACAAAGGGCGAGTAGGCAACCCAACTGGCCTCCACTTGCAGCCTTGTACCTCTCTCCTCCTGCGTTCTTGGTTCTCTCGGACCCTGCCCCACTGGGGCTCAGGGCTCCTAGTGCCCCAGGAGGGCAGAGCCAGGTGCTTGAGAAACCGCGGTTTCATTTGGGGGCTCTTGGACCTCTCCCAGCTGGGCCTGGAGGACCAGGTGAGATGCAGTCTGCTTGTGCCTGGCCGAGCCAGGCTCTAACCAGCCAAACTGCTACACTATGTGGTGTGGACACCTGTCCCTGGGCAAGCCAGAGGATGGAATAACAGCACCATCGGGCAGAAGCTACCCGATTTGGGGACTTCTTTTCAGAAGCCCAGCTGTGGGTCAGTGTCCCACTTGGTGACCAGCATTTGTCAATTTCCTGTCCCCAGCCAGATCACCTCCCCTAGAGACTGTGGGCGACAGCACTAGGCCTAGACAGGAACAGAGAGAGAAGTAAGCATCTCTGTGCCTCCAACAAATGCCCCATTACAGGCATCCAGAAATCCTGCCCCTGTCAAATCCACAAAGGTAATTGTGGAGTACACACACAACATACCCCCCAAAACCTCCAGGAGTCACATAAACAAAAACACTGCTATCCCATGCAGGCACACAAACACAGATCCACAAAATTCTGCACTCACGAACACACTCAACCCAGCTCAGTCACATCCACACGGGATCTCAAGCATGCACACGGTCATGCACACACAAACACACACATTCAGTTTTTTTAAAGTCCACTTATACATCAATGCTAGTACACAATAATTGTACACAGAGGCACACCACTCACGCATGCAAACACCCTCACATTCGAGTGTCCAAAAGTAAGCATACACGCCTATACACAGACCAACAAAAAGAAGAGTACACAGACAAATACACAGCAGGACTATACACAAATACAAACACACAAATTCACACCAAAAAAGACACATACCAAAATGTACTCACATGATTGATTACTATCTATAAACAGAGGCAAAAATGCAATTCTCAAACAGCAAATACACACTAACAAACTCAGTAAATGCACCCAAACACACATTCACAGCCAAGGCTTGGCACAAACACACTTCTCTGGCTCCCACCCAGGGCCGACCTACCCGGTCAGCGGGCAGCCGAGACTTGAGACTTTCCGTGAGCGGGATGGAAAAATCCTGCGGAGCCTTCCCGGCTTCCCAAACTTGGAGTGCCCCTTTGCCAGGTGGGCCCCTTGGGAAAGGAGGCCTGGCTTCTCCCTCCGTCCCCCAGACCCCCATCTCCCTCTTCACACACACCTGCGAGCACTCCCACACACACGTTCCCCAGACCCTCAGCTCCCCAGCGATGAGCCGCTGTTCCTGCGTCCTACGGAGATTGGAACTTGGACACACAGCCCGCGCGCGCCGCCTGGGTAAGCAGCGCCCACGCAATCTCTAGCGTTCCTCGCGTCGGCAGTGCGACCCACTCACCACGGCGCCCTGACTGGCTGACCCGGGATCTGGAAGGTGCGTCGAGGAAAGGAGAGACGTGGTGAACACCACCTCTGATCAGGCTTCAGAAAGACCCGTCTGCCCTGACCTCCTCCTCCCCACTTCTCCCCCAGAGCCCCGTGGGCCGCGCGCTCAGGCCTGAAACTCCGGGGTCCCGGACCAGGCCAGATGACACCCTCCCCCAACTTGGGCCTGGGCCTGCACGGGGAAAGAAAGACCCAAACGGCGCGGCTAGCGCTCACGCTCGCTTGCTCGCGAGCTCTCTCGCGCTCTCCCGCGCCCTCGCTCTCTGTGTCCATGAGAAAGGCCGGGCTGGGCCCCAGCTCGGTGTATGACAAAAGAAGACGGCCCGGCTCTGCGAGCCCCGTGAACCGCGCTGTCCCAGCTCCAGGGCGCAGACCCCAGGGACGCGGGGATGAGGGAGTCTAATTTGAGCGGGCTGGACTAGGGAAGAAGAGGCGGACGAAGAGCGCGCTCCGGGCCTCGGGCAACTTCTGCAAGTTCCGGGGATGGCGAACGGGGCAGGGGTCCCTCTCCCACTAGGACCTGGAATCCTGGCCCCCAGATACTGGTGAGAAGACAGAGGAAGGGAGATGCAGTTTTCAGATCGCGCGGCCCCCGCCCCCAGCCCCAAACTGGAAGGTAAATACTTACTTAGCCTCCGAACCAGGTACAAGCTAATACTCAACAATACTGATGCCTTGTTTTTTTTGCTCTGTCCGGACCGCAACGCTGTAGCCAATTTAGATATGCTATAAATTTAAGAGGTTGCCATGGCCACTGCGCGCCCATTGGCTGCCGGGCCCCCTACGTGCCGCGCCACGTCACCAAATCTGAATAAGGATGCGCGAATTAGGCGGCGGCCAGACAAAGATGAGGATCGGGACCGCTTGAAAGTGGGGGAAAGTGCCGGCGCCTCCGCCACCGGGGAAAGCCGCTCCGCAGCGCCGAGGCCATTAGCCACCCAAGACACCTGGGGGAGCCCGGAACAAGCACTGGGGCGCGCGGCCCGGGGCATGAGGCTGTGAAAGCCACCCTTCCCCACCCCACCCCGGGCAGCCCAGCGCCAGGACAGCGATCACCCAAGGACTTGACCGGCTGAGTCTTGGTCCGGACCGGACTCGCCCGGCGGCGGCCGAGATAAGAGGCGGAGCGCAGCAGCGGGGCCCGGGGGCCCGAGGGCCGGGGGCCCAAAGGGAGGGCAGGGCGGCCCGAGCCGCCGGGACGCTATGATGGTGCACTGTGCCGGCTGCGAGCGGCCCATCCTCGACCGCTTTCTGCTGAACGTGCTGGACCGCGCGTGGCACATCAAATGCGTTCAGTGCTGCGAGTGTAAGACCAACCTCTCGGAGAAGTGCTTCTCGCGCGAGGGCAAGCTCTACTGCAAAAATGACTTCTTCAGGTAAGAGGCCGCGCCACCCTGCCGCCTGCGCGCCCGCCCTGCGCGCTCCGTTGGGGCGCCCGGCAAGGGGAGACCGCGAAACCAACCTCCTGGGCTCACAAGCTTAAATGGGAAGCGGGGCAGCCCGCTGCTCTCGTCCTGTCCTTGGTCCGGCAAAGCGCCCGAGCCCGGGCGGAGTAAGAAGAACGCTGCTTTGCTGGCTCTAGTTCGCTCCTCCGGGCCGGCTTGGAGCCGCGGTGGGGCAGGGCGGAGAAGCCCTGACAAACTTGCTCCCCACGCGTCTCTGCCCCTTCCCCGCAGCTGCGACCCCAGGGGGGAAGTTCAAGCCCGGTTCTGAGAGAGGAAGAATTTTTGCCTAAGTTAGGGGCTGCTGGAGGCTTCTCCCACCGGGCAGAGTGTGGGATCCCAGGGGGCTGACCTCCCGGCAGGCCAGGGCCCCAGAGCCCTCCTGGACAAACAGAAACTTCCCCAACTCCGAGGGGGCTCAGCCAGGAAGATCTCTTCTGATGATGGGGGGAGGGAACCTTCTCCTCCTTGCCCCCCCCCCCACCAACTCCTTACACATTTTCTCCTGTCTTGAAATGTACAAACGAAATCGAAGCTGAGAATCAGGACCTCCAGGGTCCAGTCTGCGATGTGTCACCTTCCCTTGCTGCCCATAGGGGCCCTCAGGTGAGCCAGGGCAGAGCACTTTTCTGGGCCTCAGTTTCCCCACCTGGGAAACACCAAGGGATAGCCTGGAAGGCTGTGGGTTTTCTGGCAGTTCAGCCCTGCCTGCTTCCTCCAGGCGCCCGGAGCCGGCTTTGTGCCTGTGAATTCCGGGCACCGAGGGAAGCGGGGCGTGATTAACACCGTGGAGAAAGGCTGCTCACCGGCCCGAACGGCTGGGCACTAGGTAATTTGAATAGGAGAAAATGTCAGCCACGGCTTTACACGTGTAAACTCCCTGGCTCCAGAGGCCTGAGGCCCCTAATGTGGCGATGCTTGCAAAGTGCCTAATGATTTTTGATAAGGTGCATATGGCCAATTACGCTGCCGGATAAGGCCAAAAGTGACTTATGGCTTCTAATGCCCTCACTACATCAACGTCACCCAAATTCGCCTTGTTTAGAGACGTGGGTATGAGTAGATGTGGGGCCCCAAGGTGCTGGGCCCTCGCTCTCCCCCTCAACCTGCACCTCACCCCTCCCAGTGCTGGCCTGCACACCCATCTGGGGGGAGGCTGGCCTTCTCCAAGCGCTCAAGGAAGAAAGAAAGGGATTTAGATCAAGAACTCGGGAAAGGGGGAATTTGAGAGATCCCGTGTACGGGCCTTGCAGGTTTAGGATTGCCTGCTGGTCACATTCTCCCGGCGCCTGCCAGGGCCGGACATTTTGGGGGGTTGGAGACTCAATCCCTGCTCCGGAGTCCACCGTTCCAAAGCCCTGCTGTCCACAGGGCCAACTAGCTCCCGCGGGTCCCAAAGTGGGGACTGGAAGGCCTCTGGTGCTGGTGGCACTGGGAATCAGCAAAAGGTTCCTTCCCGCCTGCTCAGGTCCAGCTCAGGAGAGGAGCTCCCCACTCCATTGCTAGGATCTGCCAGCCAGGCCAAGTGGCCTTACCTGGGCCCCAGCAGACTGGACAGGATCCAGGAGGCAAAGCCAAGGAGTGGCCCAAACCTGGCTGGCCTGGCTTAAAATGTTAAAGAACTCAGACAGCCAAGTTTGCCTCAAGAAGCCCAGGCAGATCTGGCAGGGATGCAGGGAGCAACTTGGGGTGCTCTGGGTCTGTGCTTGGCTGAAGGCTGCACCCATTGCTCTAAACCTTGTGGAGGGTGAATAAACCCGAACAGGGCGTGACAGTCCCAGCCCCAAGAACAGCCCAGGACATTTGTCTCACCTCTCTCGCACTAGCCAGAGAGTACAGGATTGGGGTCTCATTTGACAGATGTGGAAATGGGGACCTCTCAGAGGCCAGGGTGGGTGGGAAGAGGTCAGGGGCTCAAGAGGACGGGACCCGCGCTGCTCCAAGGTGACAGGACATGTTGTGTGTGCAGGCGCTTCGGCACGAAGTGTGCGGGCTGTGCGCAAGGCATCTCGCCCAGCGACCTGGTGCGCAAGGCCCGCAGTAAAGTCTTCCACCTCAACTGCTTCACCTGCATGGTGTGCAACAAGCAGCTGTCCACAGGCGAGGAGCTCTACGTCATCGACGAGAACAAGTTCGTGTGCAAGGACGACTACCTGAGCTCCTCCAGCCTCAAGGAGGGCAGCCTCAACTCAGGTAGGCGGCCTCCTCCCCTCCCCAGCCTCAGGCCCTAAGACCCTCCGGCCGCAGCCAGCCTGGCACTCTCTACTTGGACGCTCGTGCGCATTCTGTGCCTGGCTCAGAGCTCTCCACTCCCATCGGGCATTTCTAGGGCAAATGGAAGGGCGGGGGCGTGGGGCTGGGGAAAGGGGATAGCATTTGGAGTCTGTCCTACAGGATACGACGACCAGCTCTTCCCCCCCTCTCCTTCTATTGAAGGGCCTTTTCCAAGTTGCCCTCCTCCCCCAATTTGGAGCCACACAATTCCCCCCCTTTCTGAGTCTTTTCAGCTCCTGGTAATTTCAGGCGGCACTGGGAGGACGGTAATTGGAGTTTGGAGGAAGGAGAGATGGGGGAGGAAGATCTGAGGCCCAGAGGGCATCTGTGGCCTCCTCACGTCCCCTCTCCACGGAGGCCTGGCTCCCCCAGAGGGCGTGCCTCCCCCTTACCCAAGCAGTAGCCGAAAAGAGCCGCGAGGGCTGGAGAAGGGTCCCTCCGTAGGCCCGGCCCCGCCTGGAGGGAGTGGGCGGGCGCCGGGCCCCTGGGGGAGGGGCTGTCGCGAGACTCGGAAGGGAACCGGGCGCGGATGGCGGGGGGCCTGGGTCGGCGGGAACCGGCTACCCGACTGGAGAGACCTTGGGCCGCCGCCGACGCCGCTGTCCTCTTCCCGTTCCGTCCGCCCGCAGTGTCATCCTGTACGGACCGCAGTTTGTCCCCGGACCTCCAGGACCCGCTCCAGGACGATCCCAAGGAGACGGACAACTCGACGTCGTCGGACAAGGAGACAGCCAACAACGAGAATGAGGAGCAGAACTCGGGCACGAAGCGGCGCGGCCCGCGCACCACCATCAAAGCCAAGCAGCTGGAGACGCTCAAGGCCGCCTTTGCTGCCACGCCCAAGCCCACGCGCCACATCCGCGAACAGTTGGCACAGGAGACCGGCCTCAACATGCGCGTCATCCAGGTGCGGCCGGGCCCGGGTCACCCTTCCGCAGGCCGGCTGAGCCCGGCAGCCGGGGAGCTCAGAGGAGCCTCCCACCCAGCCTCCTTGGCTAAGAGCGCGCCGAGTTCGGGTCGGCCGAAGGGCAGACTGTGCCCGACGTCAGGGCCCGCTGGTCAGACTTCTAACCAAAAGATTGCGCATAGCCCTGCTGTCCTCCTGACGGTGCGATCTTGGGCGGGTCACTCATCCCTCGGAATCCCGCCCCCTCCCCGTTCAAAGAGAGTTTTAAGCCTCGCCGAGGTACCCCTCCTTTCCTCCCCTTTTTCGGAGCAGAGAAAGGGGCAAGGTTCTTTCCGCGCCCCCCTCCCTGCGCCGGTGCGGCGGCAGACAGACAAACCGCCAGAACCCGGCTGGGGAGCCGAGGGGCCGGGACTAGAGCCGTGCCGCGCGGGAGGCCTTTATAAAGCCGTCAGGCCGAGGGCGGGCCGAGGACCAGGAAGCCCAAGTCTTTATGAGTCGCCCCACGGGTCCGCGAAATCCTTCACCCTTGGCTGGTTCTCCGAAGCCCCTCTCCACCTCTCCCGGCCTAATCCGCCCGGCCCCCGCCTCTGGGCAGTCTTGGTGCGCAGGAGGCTATAGGACCCAGAAGGGGCGGCCTGGGCAGGGAGGGGAAGGCACCCCGGACCTGAGCTCACAGTTCCCGCCCTGTCCCAGGTGTGGTTCCAGAACCGGAGGTCCAAAGAACGCAGGATGAAACAGCTGAGCGCACTGGGCGCCCGGAGACACGCCTTCTTCCGGAGTCCGCGGCGCATGCGTCCGCTGGGCGGCCGCTTGGACGAGTCTGAGATGTTGGGGTCCACTCCGTACACCTACTACGGAGGTAAGGACCCACCCCCCACCCCGGAACGCTCTGCCCTACACCCGGGCCCGTTCGGTTCTGGGCACTGAGGACGCAGGGCCGGACGCCGGCACTGTTGGCCGCCAGGGATCCCTCCCTCCCTTTTATGCACGCGGAACAGACACAATCATGAACACAACAGACACACAGCAACAGACGGGCGCATGCTCATCCATAGATACCTCCTAGACACAAAATCAGACACATGGGTTCATTCACACATACAGTGGTACACACAGATAAACACACGCACCCACGCAGGACACACGGGTGCCACTCCCTTGGCACACACTGGAGTTCAGAGACCTCAGGGATACACATCTAGGCACGTGATCACACACAACACACTCAGGTGTATGCCACTCCCCAGATTCACTCACTGACAAACATACCCAAAGAGATTCACAGGCTCACACACTCCCAAGCATCATACCAAGGCGAGCACCGCAAATCCACATGCATCCTGCCCCAGCCGAACACCCAGTCTTCTTGCTGCCCTTGTCCTTGGCGGCGTGGCGCACTTGGCACCAGCAGGAACACAGGCACTGGAGGGCAGCATGGGCAGTAGGGGTGGAGGGGTCAGAATCCATCCCGGGCCACCTGCTAGCTAGTCGGCACCCCCTGTTCCGCCGCGGGGACTATGCGCTCAGCGTCTGGCACTGTGAGCCAGGATGCGGGCAGGTGCTCTGGACAGGACTCTCGCCCATTCTCCAGCCCCAAGCCCACCAGTGTTCATTGGGTTGGAGGCGCAAGAGTTGGGCCCACCCAGTCACCCACTCTCTGTCTTTAGGGCTGCAGGGGCAAGGAGCTGGAGTTTGCAGAGAGGCATTCTGCTGTTGGTGTTCCCGGGCGCAAGCCTGGGGAACTCTCCTCGCCGTCACTCCTTTTCTTCCTTCCCTCCTCTTTTCCTTCCTCCCTTGTCCCCTCACCCCTCCATTTCCCTCGTACTTGCTTGGTGACCCATTCCAACCCCCCACGACCATCCCACCTCCCTCACGCTGGCTTTTTGAGACCCCAGGTGCTCTAGGGAATCCACTCACTGTCCTGCACTTCCCCAACCTTTGGGCTCAAGGAAAACACCTCCCCCTTGTGTTTCTGAGCCTCGGAATTTGGAGAGCCCGCGGAGTGCCTGTGCCTGAGACTGATCTCTGCTGAGTTGTTCAGTGCCACAGGCCTGGCCGGTGGGGGGGGGGGGGGGGTGGGGGCTAGTGGCCCAGTTTGGGGAGAGGTGACTTTTCTTAGAAACATGCATTTGGAGGCAATGCCGGCCAGCGACGGGTAGGGTAGGCGCCGCGCGCACCCAGGCAGACCCAGGAAGGAAGGCTTCATTCAGTACATGGTCGACCTAGGAGGTTAGAACTTCAGGTCCGGCCAGCCCCCTCCCCCCCGGCCCCGAAACTGTGGGCAAATCGCGCAGCTGTGCTTCTGGGGGAGAGACTCTGCGTTGGCATGGCCCAGGTTGGGGGCTACGGACGCTGAGGGCAGCTCGGATGGTGGACGGGTCGGGCGGTCTTCAGCCACGAACTCTCCCTGCCTATCTTTGCCTCGGTCCGCACACCATCTCTGCCCGACGAGGGGAGGTGGTGGGGCGGTGCATTCCGGAATTTCTCCCCGCCTGGGTAATTAAGCAAGGTTTCCCCGAGGACTGGTGTGCCCCCACCAATCCCGCCGCCTCCTCTACCCGCGCGTCTGCTGGATGGGGTGGCGGCCTGGACACGCGGGCCCCTCTTTCTCCGGAATGGGGGGGGCAGGACCCCCCAGCCCCAGGGAGGCAGCCCCGCCTAGTCCGCGCTGGGAGATCCGGGCGGCGGCGGCCGGCAGCGGGCGAGAAAGGGGCTGGGCGGCGGGGCCGGCGGCTCCCCGTGGGAGCGCGGACAAAGCCCCAGCTGCGGCTTTTGTGCCCTTTTCAGACGGCGTTTGTTCCAATTACCTCCGGCCCGGCCGCCATATGGGCGGAGGCGGCTCGATCCGCGCGGGGGCCGCGGCCCTTGCTGGCTTGCCGGCTCGCTGCGGGCCGCGGCCGTCCCCCATCCCCGTCCCTTAGGGGCCCCAAATTCGCCGCTTCCAACCTTTCCCTTCACTTTCGGGGAGAATGGAATGAGTGGTTTTTAAAAAGTAATGGGCGACCGTTTTAGCTGTTGCTTAAACCGTTTACAAGCCGCGCCTCTGGGCACCCCCATTTGGAATGATTTCAGGGTTTGGAGAAAGAAGGGGGGCAGGCGGCAGGGGACGTCCAGAATTCGCCCTAGTGACTGAGACCCGAAGACCCAGTGTGGGGTGGGGGGTATTGCAGAGGAAACCCGGCTTGGGGGTGCGCTGGTTTTCCCGCCGCACAAAGCGGGTTATTGTCACTGGTGCCGGCGACAAGGTGCTCCTTTCCTGGGGTCCCACACCCCAAACTTTCACGAGGCCGACCTGGAAGAGGTCCCCGGGGAGGGGACTCTGGGAGGAGGTCAGCGAGTTGATGCAGAAACAGTTTATTGAGAATGGGTGGGCTTGTAACCTGGAGTCCCTGCGCCCCCTGATTTTGTGGGCAAAAATGTGATTTGTGCGTTTTTCTGGAGAGAGCCCGTAGCTATTACCGGATTCTCAAAAGGACTCAGTGTCCCCAAATGTTTCAGAACCTGGGTGTCCTGGCAAACGCATGCTGAAGTGCCCGTGAAACGTTGGATGTGCGTGATCAGGCAGATGCCCTCCCTCCCTCAAGTCAGGCCTAGGGAGGCCGGTGCAAATGGTCGGGCCCCCACATTCACCCAGAAGGTCGCAGGGCTGTACTTGAGGGGGTGAAGGGCCGGCCAGGTCCGCGGGGTGCCTTCGGGGAAAGAGAGGGCACTCATCCCCCTTTCGAGCTCCAGTGCTGTAGCCACGTCCCTGGCCCAACTCGCCAGCCCCTCTCTGCTACTTGGGTGTGGGGTCCAGGTCTGGCTTCTTCCCCGCCAGGTGGCCGCCCCCCCCCCCACCATTTGGTACTCTGGTCTCTATCCACCCCAACATCGCTGCCCAGCTCTACTCCAGGCATCTCTGGCGTCTCTGACTCATCTGGTGGGTCTGTGGGCCCCTCTGTCTCTCCTGACGTTTCATCTCGCCCCTGGTCTCTCGCCGGTTTTTACCGGTGTGTCTCTAACCACACGGCTGGTCTCATCTCTTTGTGCTTGTTCTAGACCATCGCCCTGGTCTCTCTCTGCCTTGGGCTTGGCACATCTGGGTCTCTCTTCTGACCTGAGTCTGGGGGCTCCCTGCTGAGTCCCCTCTTAACTCCCCTGTCACTCTGTTCTCTGCCGATCTCTCCCTGACCCTGTCTCTGCCTGTTTCCATGTCTCTGGCTCTCTGTGGATCTCGCCCCAATTCTAAGACACAGTCTAGGATGCTTCACTGTCTGCGTGTCCACTGCCACTGTCTCTCTCCATCTCTGTCGGGGAACCTCTGACTTTGGAGTCACAACATCTTTCTGTCTGTGTTTCTGTCTCTGAGTCCCTCCCTCTGGTCTGGCCATCTCTCCGGGTAGGTGTCTGGGCCTTTGAGCACCTCTCATGGTCTCCCTCCCTGACACTGGCTCTGGGTCTGCGCCCTCCGCCGCCTCCGCCAGCCGCCCTGTCCCTTGGTCTCCGCGGGGCTCGCCAACCTGAGTCAGTGTCGCGCGATCCCCGCTGGGTCCGCCCGGGTCCCCTCCCGCGTTCCCGCGTCCCTCCCGGCCGGGCCGCCTCTGACCTCTCCCTGTGTCCTCCTGGTCCCCTCCCGCAGACTACCAAGGCGACTACTACGCGCCCGGAGGCAACTATGACTTCTTCGCGCACGGCCCGCCGTCGCAGGCGCAGTCCCCGGCCGACTCGAGCTTCCTAGCCGCGTCGGGGCCCGGCTCGACGCCGCTGGGCGCGCTGGAGCCGCCGCTGGCCGGCCCGCACGCCGCCGACAACCCCAGGTTCACCGACATGATCTCGCACCCGGACACGCCGAGCCCCGAGCCGGGCCTGCCGGGTGCGCTGCACCCCCTGCCCGGCGAGGTGTTCAGCGGCGGGCCCAGCCCGCCCTTCCCCATGAGCGGCGCCAGCGGCTACAGCGGACCCCTGTCGCACCCCAACCCCGAGCTCAACGAGGCCGCCGTGTGGTAAGGCCGCCGGGCCGGGCCGCCCCCGGACGCAGCCGCCCGTACCGACACGCCGCCCTCAGGGCTTCCCTCCCGGGTCCGCACGCAGCGG